TGGATGGATGGATGGATGGATGGATGGATGGATGGATGGATGGATGGATGGATGGATGGATGGACTTTCCATTGTTTATGCATGTATTCAAGTAATGAACTTATTATAAGTTAAACTACCACTCGTTATAACTTTTGTTTATTAGTATTGCATTGTGTTCCGTGTTGCATATTGTTTTAGTCAACCTGTAAAAACCCACTTAACTCACTTTTACCGTAACCTGCTGCAAGATATGATAAATATTCTAATGCAAATAATTAACAGCAGAGAATATGAGAGCTAAAAATAAAAAAGTGTTTTGGCACTAAAAACAAGCAGGGCCACCTAAATGAATAAAAGTCATAAAAGATAAAAGATACAGTCTCAGAGCACTTCCTGCTCTGTTGCAGTGATTTAACACAGCTTTGTTCGTTTCTTCTCTTCCTTTCATAACAAAAACACAGTTTTAATATTTCGAATTGACTCTTCCTCAGTGTTTCCTGCTCTAGTTTTTTTATCTGCTCTGATGCATCAGTTCTGAACCACAGGCAAAGAAAAAAAAAGCAAGTAGTACCAAAACTTTTTTTTTTGTTATTAAAAGTGACTTCCTTGTAGTTTCACTCTTTATCTTCTTCCATCATCAGTATCATTTTTTAGCAAACAGGGAACTGGTTTGTGGGGGCTGTGCTGTTCTCAGGGAACGATGAGACACGGCCTGGTTCTACGGCCTCGGTGCCGCCGCCGTCCATGTGCTCCGTGGTGAACAGGGTCACGTCTGTACCAAGCAGGTACCTCTGGACCGCACACACCGTGAGGCCGGCCTGCAGGGGCAGAAAGACGGCACTGTTAGGGCTCAAAACTGGAGCAGATGAATCCAGTCAATAATATAGGTGCTGGGACATTCTGTAAATGTCTTTTTTTTAATTAAAGCATTTCCAGTTAAATCCTCCACCTTTTCTTCCTCACTTGCCAATGCTTTGGTTAAAAATGTTACAGATAGTAACTCAGACAGCCTAAGGCAGGAAACCATCCTGCATCCCAGAGTTGAAGCTTTTAGTGCACACAGGAAATGGCTCCAACCTGATGTTTATTACTGATTACAGCTATTGGAAACATTTTAATTGCAAGCACTGCTGCTCCAGGACGTCACAAGAAGCCGAAATCAAACATACTGCTGTCACTGATATGTGAAACTACAAATAATTTTAATTTTATGTTTGAAAATCTGTGACTTTTAAACTCACAAAACAGAGTTTTTTTAATATATCTTATCTGTTCTCTTGGGGACGTTCTTTTGATTTAGGCCAGGGGTCTGCAACCTGTGGCTCTGGGGCCACATGTGGCTCTTTGGTCCCTCTGCAGTGGCTCTTTGAAAATGTGACCAAACATATCATAATTTGTTTTTCTTTTATACTCACAACAGAAATAAATTTGTATGTGATCAATACTACTAACTCAAAAAGTAAAACATGTGATCTCATGCTAGTCTGTTGTTTACTTAAATATTTCATTTTCTTTCCATGATCTCTCTCTCAAATCCATCAGAATTACCTTTAAAGAATTTGAAGACTACATAATATTAAGAATTAGAAAATAAATACACCTGAATAATTCAGTTGTACTAGTTTTTATGAAATTCGGTATAAACTATATGCAGTATTTTTCTTGTTTAAATGAATATGGTATTTTCATT